CACGGCCAGGATGGAGGATATGTGGAATACCGGCATCAGCCAAAAGCGGACCACGCAGACGCAGAAGCACAAGTAGTGCCAATCCTTTCCTATGCGCTACACGCACTTTATTGCAGGCAAGAAATAAGGGGGGGGGGGTAAACAGGGAGGGAGGGAGGGAGGGCGCGGTTGGTTGTCACGATCGATGTACGAGTACAGAGGTTGAAGAGGACTAGCTGATGAATTTTGGGGGCTAGTGTGGGCAAGGGACTGAGAAAATCCAAAGAAGCTGGGTGTTGACGGATATGAGTATCATCCCGTACTCTATTGGAGTATTCATACCGGTACAATACCAGCATGCCTCTCCGCTCCCTTGTCACTCCCCCCTCTGGAGCAATCGGGGTGGACAGAACAACAAGACGAATGATTTCCCTCCTTCTCCTCCACTTCCATCACTCGATTTTCGTTTCCATCCAGCCTGATGATGCTGAGAGTATAAAGTGTGGTGCCAATATCAGACCACACGGTAATTCATGCCCATACAGTATCGTACTCGGGTGCGCGTTGCGGCGGGCATGGGCCACAAGCACTCTCCGCTTCCTTTCCTTTCAGCGCTGCGAGTCCCGCAGGCAATTCCGACGCCGTCGAATGATTGGCTGGTCGATCCTCCCTCCGTTACCCCCCCAACAGCGACACAACAACGGGGCGTGTTTTGTTTGGCCCCGATCTCTCCCTTCCTTGCCTTTCCCGGTTGCGTGCATACGAGGTGCAGGGATATTGCAGGGATATGTCTGGTTCACGCCAATTGGGTCAGCTAATCCGACGCAATCTTTCAGCTCTTGTTCTTCCGCCGGGTCATGCCTGAAAGAAAGAAAGCGCCCGAGGGGATCGGTGATTTCCAGGATCTGGGTGAATCGCCCTTTGAGGGAGAAGGATCGGGGTGGTGGTCGACAGCTCTCATCATGGCGATGGCGCCTCCGATAGGAGAATGCCCCATGCTACAATATTGTAGTACCGGTACTAGTACTCGTACAGTACGCCGGCCAAAGGAAAATCGAAGCCACGCTCCAGATCTTATCTTCCCGAGTAAACATGATTAGCGAGGCCATTTCACGAATTCGGCCGGCTAGCCTTTCTGCCCAAGAGCACCGCACCATAGCCCTCGGCTATCAAACAACGCGTATTCTTCAACGCCAATTGACGGCCAACGCATATGAACCGCTAATCATTCATCACTACGCGTCTCAAGAGGTGAATAACGAGTGATAATGGGTGATTTCTCTGGGGGTTCATGAGGTGTCGAGTCGGTGATATGTGCAACACATGCGTGGTGAGTGCACGAGACCATTGCGCGACTTGATTTTATGTTTTTTATATGCGAGCTAGGGGGATGTTTGGAATGTTGATTAAGCTAAGGGATGAAATGATATGATACTGCGCTGTAATCCTGAGGCCACGGGACCATACGAGCATTCTCATCGGATAGATTTGTCTTGCCTGTCATATCCAAGACGATAATGTAAGTGCGACACCCATGCCCATACGCTACGTTCCCCATAGCGTACGGTACTATACTGTACTTGTGCTCGAGTGCATGGCTACCAGTATTCGCACTGGAGGATGGACATGGGAGTGCGAGTATCATACCAGTAAAATTTCCTACCGGCAGTACCGGCATGGTTGTGCCAAAGGTGCGAGATGCCAACGTTCTAGATTTCTGGAATCGGGCACCCCCAGATACCGTCAAGACCTGTCGCTACACTGCGACTTTTCGGTCAGTAGCCTACGCTCTATCATAGGAGTGGAACAACTGTAGGGTTTCCCGCCCCACCAGGCCCCTGAAGCACTGTAGACTTGATTCGGGGGAAACATTCGGATCACCCCAAGTTCTTCCCTACCTCTCTCGGATCTCGATAAACGTACCGCCCTCAGACCTCGAGTTTAACCTTTTCTCGGAATTCGTCATTATAGATAGGGTTAGGGATTTGAGCTTGCAGAGCCTGGGCTCGGTCCTACCGTACCGTAGGTACCGTAAAGTTACCCACTATGTTACGGTACTGGTGGGTTATGATACCTTTGATGGCCTTGTCGTCAAGGTTCCGATCGGGCTCCAGATCCGCATTTCAGCCCTATCCATATCTTCAGACATGGTGCCACCGAAAGAGCCAGTGAGCCCCTGTGTGAGAGGGCGTTTTCATTGCGGGTAAAGGTAAAACAGAGTAAGCTGGCGGGATTGTGGTCGGATGGTATTATGTATCATAGTTTCTCTGGAGAAGCTCTCCTGACGGTCCGGATGTTGGTACGGATGTCTGAGGCAATGCCGGTAATGTACTCGAGTGCGGTAGTGTTTGCTCTCCCTTCCGAGATCTCCCATTTCAGTAGCCATAGTGAGCCTTCGGAAAGCCTAGAAAGCCACGTATAGCGCCACGTATCGCCCGTCTGCTAAATTCTCCAAACCGACAATGACCCTACCGTATGCGATGTATGATAGTGAGTGCTGGTTGAGACCGAGTGCCATGAAGAGCGAGAGATATGATCATTGATTTGCCTACCTCTTACGGCAGTCCACTTGATAAACCGTGAACACTGGCAGGAGGCAGTGAAGCACCCCGGACTCTTTTTTTCGAAAAAAGGACAGGCTTTTACAAAACACGCAGGTTTGATGTACTAGTACAGTACCCATGTCCAGCAAATGGGACTGAGAGAACAACAGGGGAAACCCGGGCTTCTACAAGAGCATTGGTAGCAAACATCAAGCATCGCAACAAGAGCATTTAAAGTTGGCGATGATGGATGCGAGGGGTGCCACTGCCTAGATCGCTCCCTTTACTTGAAAAGAAAGAAAGACGATTACCCTCATGCTCCCACAAACTCTAGTTCCTTAAGAGAACTTTGGGGATGAGACAGTACTATAAACCCAGCAGCACCAAATAATTTCTCACTTTAAGAAGTACGACTACACCCCCCGAAGTATCTAACGTAGGTATTAGCACATGCCTGACCCCCCTCCTTACCGCACAAGTTCACTGTGCCAGTCCAGCCCGTGATTTCCCACTAGATAAGCTGGGAATATCATATGAAAAACAAAATTGATACGGAGATCTCACATCAAGTGATACTTTATGACAGGTTCGGTGCCTCAGTTCTGGACTATCAGCAAGTGTATCGTAGGAGTAGAGAATAGAGACCAAGTTATCCCCGTGCTAGTTATTGAAATAACACTGGACTCGCGGTGGTTTCTGGGATGAGTCGAGATGCGTCGTGATTTTTGTGACCTAAAACCGGAAGGAAGTAAGCTGTAGTGTGCCACGAGGACGTGTGAATCCTTAGGGACACTACTGTAACTACTGTACACCATGGCTCGTCAATAAGGTAGGGGAAGGTAGCATAGCATGAAAAGTAATCCAAGAGGTAGGCCTTTGGGTGAGTGCGGGAGGGGGAGCAGTTAAGGCAGAGCCAGGTAATCTCACCGGCCTCCAATGTCAAATTTTTTCTTTGTTCTTTGGTCCGAAATTAGCCCGAGGGTCCTTCTGTTTGCTCTTCGGTAACTTACTAGACATTTTCGCGAGAGAGGGGGGTGAATAGTAAGGAAAACGAGGTGTAATGTTTCCACATTTATGTTATATTCCAGCTATAGCGGGGGCCCGGGGGGACTGTTGGGGTGTCGCCGCGTTATGTCAGCGTGGCCTGATCTGCCGGTTGCACTGTGAATGATGTGCTATGATGGCGTGTGAATTTAGGGATTCTATGATCGGGCGGTATGGGGTATGGTTGTGGTGTTTTTCTGGTTGGAGTTATCTACCGGTATGATATTATGAAATAAACCATAGACTTGATATGGTATCGACCTGGCTACTGCCACGATTTATCTTTCAAACTGCTCGTACTGCATGTGATGCTACTTTTAACAATAGATATCATAGTATTATCATACAAGGCCACTCAATTGGTCGGGCTTGTCAAACAACACTTGGAAAAAACCCCAACTCCTCCCTCCTCTATATATTGATATCCTATCCGCTCACACCCCCCCCCCCATCTAAGCCGCAAACTCTTCCGCAAGGGCATGGTCACAACTATTCTCCGTATATTCCCACCCTAGCCTCCCCGTCCTCTTCGCAACACATCTGGCGTTCGCCCGCATAAGATAGTAAAAATCCGCCCAACGTCATCCGTCTCTGCGAGACTGATCCTCCTCCTGACGGGCCTAAACTCTAGAGCCTCGCTGCTTTTAGCAAAGTAGAAGTCCTCGCCCTTCCACTGGGCGGCACCGCCGTCGGGCTTAAGGCCCTCGGATAGGAGGGGAGTTACAGCTCCATTAGGTCGCTGTTGTGAATGGGTTACTGTTTGGGAGTTGAAACCGCCTCTCAGGGCCGCGGTACCCCTTCCGGTCTTTTTGATGCCCTGCCGAGGCCGACAACCCCGGGTGGGCGAGTAGTTGCCGTGCGAATATTCCCGAATGCCTCAAGAATTATATCTGTGTTTCTGTCCGTTAGGGATTTCATCTTGGAGTAGATTCAGAGAGTCGTTGCGGGTTTGTTACCTTGTCAGCTGGACGACGACAATGGGTGTTGGACAATGGCGTCGAACCGTTAACATACGCAATGTCATTTGACGCACGCGGGTTGAAGTAGGCTCCCTTTGGCTTGTCAGTCGTGATGGCCGAGCAGCTGGTGTGCAGCAGTTCTCCGCCCTGTGGACAAATGTCCGCTATGCAGATTATGGCATCCGCCTTCCCCGACTCGGTCTCGAGAACAACTATTGGGAACAGGTCTCTCAGGATGATGCGGATGGTCAGATACTTTTTGCAGAGCATGGAGGCTATGGTTTCGGTGCGGGCGAGGGCGGTTATGACATGTGGGGTGTTTTGTTTTCGACTGGCTCATCGAGGGTGTTTCCGCCAATGTGGCCCGTCGCATCTGTTAGAAATGTTAGAGGGGTGAAGTGGGCGCCCATATATGAGGATATAGGTCATTTTGGTGGGTTCTCGAGATATGTAATGTTTTGCTGTCGATTTGTAGATGATTTTTGTGTGCAGTATTGAGCTTCTTCTAGGGACTCGAGCTCTCGTCTGCCGCTGCATGATTCCGTAAAGGAGTAGGTTACGGCAGCGATTCAACGAGATGGACGGGAGTTAGAATTCTGGGAGTTGTGAGCCCTTTAGCCCTTATCATTCATGATGTGGAAACCTCGGGCGACGCTACTACAGTATCATAAAGTAACACTAGTAGGAGATGTAATTAGAGATTTTATAAATAATCGGAGAGCCCCACTACCAAGTCCCGAAGTCAGCTGACCGTCGTACTTGACTTCTGGATACCAGCACTTGAACCTGATACTGCCCGAGCAGCATAGCGCAAAATGAATTTAAAATTGAGCCATGTCCTGAAAAAGTGGCCGGCGAGTGGCACGCCTTGACGAGACTGTGGATTATCACGATAAGCAGTCCGCACAGAGAGAGAGGTTCATGAATTATTCTTTGCGCGCGGGGGGCGATACGCATGCTGTCCTCGGGATTAGCGGCAGCGTGAGAATAGCCGGAGGGGTAGAATTTATATTATATAGGAAATTAACGGTGTTGGGTGTTCTTGCGGTCGTACCGTATTATGAGAGGTTCCCTCAGGCTCGCGTTGTTTTATGCGTCGTGGCAAGTCGGAACATGGTGCTTTGTTTTCAGTGTCTGCAAGGCTTTTGTGACTTTGCTTTGGACTTGCTGACGGCCGAGGCTCCGGTGTAAAGCAGCGCCCGAATTAAATCACCAAGTACCGGTATCTAGAAAAGGAAGCTGAAAGTGATGGTAGTGGATTAAAGGGAAAGAAATAAAAGTCAGGGCCCCCGACACCTCCGCAATCTTCAATGGTGTTTAGACTCACCAATCCTCAGACAAAGGTGGTTGATCTTCGAAGGGTGATCTTCCAGTGCCTTCCCCGGGTCCTGTTATGCTCCACGCTAAGTACCACCTTTAGCTATGGAAAAGTGCTGGATTGGCGAATATCTTCGTCAACGACTGTGAGCCCCCTGACGTGTTCGGCAGTGCGACCCTCAGGTTTGGAGGAGCGCATTGTAACTACAACTTTCCTTACCATAGGCCACGGTGGAGGGGTTGAGGTAGAGTGCCTTGTGAACTAGAATGTGGAGGGGCTCTCATTGAATAGTAAGCTCGGACACGTGAGACAGACTCCTTGTATTCGTACACTAAAAGCCGACAACTGTTTAACATTAATGAGAGCCCCCTATCCAGAATCGGTGATCACCTTGACACTTGCCCGAATTTGTTTTTCACATAATTTGCTTAGAGTCAGCGAAGGAGGAGAGCTAGCATGGGATTTCTTGATAGTCATAACCCCGGAGCCCTTCAATTTAGGTGGCTTCTGAGGCCTGCTGAGGGTATTGATTTAATTTACCTATGGCGTTCTGGGGAACCTCCGGGGTTATAAGAAGCCGGGATAACTTAGTTTCGCTATCTAATGTGTATCTACGAAGCTCCGAAAATTTTTGTGCATATAATGGGGCCGTTATCGTGTTTTCGGGGTTAACTTTCCTTTTTTTTTAGGAATGTTTTGTGGGAGGTTCTAGATGGATGTTGATTGATTGAGATAGATTGTGGAGGTTTCGGGAGTCTGGCGGAGAGTTCAGAGGTTCAATGGATTAGTGTGGAGGATAAGAGATTGGTAAGAGATTCTCCAGACATGTCTTTCCTTTGTCACCACGGGAGTGTATGGGGGAGAGGGTAGCATGCTTGGAGAGATACGGATAGGTGTGGTGATCCACGGAATGGTCAGGATACATTGTTTATGTTTTACTTATACACCTGTCTTTACCATTGGTTTAGAAACGAATGAACGAAGTTGTTTTTCCTTACCTCACACTCTTGTCCACATCCTGCGACAGTTCCCACATAGTCCTTTAGTTTTTCTCTCTATCGCTGCGCGAGTCAATCATTGACTGCTATACCCACACATAAGATGTTTTGGGGTATTGATGTGCTTGCCTAGGCTCAGTTTGATAGTGTTACATGAAGCAAAAGCCTCTAGCTCAATACATCGAGCGCAATTTTTTTCTTCTGCTTTTAAACAGGAGGAGGAAATTCCTGACCTGTTTGACTTCCGGTGTTTCGGGTTGTTGTTTCTTTCCTCTTAATTTCGGGGGCCAGGCGCTACTAGTGCTCGGATATGGGGCTTTCATTAGAGTCTTTAATTTCAATCATACCTCACGACAGCCATGGTAAGACCCCTGTTAGAAAAGTGCTAGATAGAATACGGAACCAGGATAAGAAATGCGTGGACCCGTGATTGGAGGTCTACTACACACATGAGAGTTCTTGACTTGGCGGCACTACTCATAAATAGGAATGGGGTATCTACATGGTAGATTACGTACACACCCCCAAAACACCCGACCAGCATACATGTGAAGACGGAAGGCTGACTGCCTTCTCTCTCTGTTGGTACTGTGCTCTTCTTTCTTTTCTTTTCTCTCTGATTGTTTCCTCCTTAATGCTTCACTCTGACTATCTCAATACTCAATCAATTCTTTTATCTCATCGAGTCCAACAGCTACATGACCATTTCTAACAACCCCTATTTAGGTCTATCAACCTTTTTCCTTTCCTCATCCTGCGATCATACTAGAATCAGGGACAATGTAACTAGATTGATATTGGCAATCCTCACCACAGTACCTTGGGATGCCGGTATTACTCTTTCTCATCTACCTTGGTAATCGTTTCAGTTTTTCCTCCAGCCTAGACCCAAGGGCGCAGCCAATCTCACAAAACACCAGGGCAGTAAATTGCCCTTTTTCCTTTCAACCATGATCATCGACAAACCTTCAGGGAAACCACGAGGATAAGTGCTCTTGGTGAACCGAAATTTTTAGCTTAATTCCAAGTGATATGTCTGGATCTGAGCGTTGTGTGCATGGGCGATTGGCGGAACAACCTCTAAACATGGCCAATCTTTAGTTTATTCAAGCGCAGGAGCCATATCCGGTGGTATCCCTAGAGGAAGGACTTTAAATGCAGATTTCTCTACCGTCTTTGAATCCTCTGCTCGTACAGCCCTCGCTCTCTTGTACTGCGCTCGTTAGGTGACCTATTACACTGGATACTTTCCATTATTGTAAGCCACGACTTTGTCCACCTGCGACCTTGACGATATTTGTAGATTCGCTTACTCCTTATATCGCTCCTAGTTATTGGGTGCATGCTCTTGGTTATTATTTAAGAGATCCTTATTATTACTATCGCGGGAGTGATGCAATAAGATCCTGGTTCAGAGAAATCCGAGTGATTATGAGTGACTTCTACGTCCGACTTGACGCTGTCAGCTAAGAAGCCGGAGCGACCCTCGAGATATTTGAACATAATGGGAACATCCTAGATTAGCTAATAGTATCATCCACTGGCTTCGTTTTCACCTAGTCAACACGGATGGGATGTGTGTATCCTTACTAATGACCGATCCGAGCTCATCCCGGTATACTCCCAGTTTTCATGCTCTCATGGAGAACCTGTCAACAGACTGACTAGAAACATCTTGTAGCAGCGGAGGAGGGACGTGCAGTTCTCAGACTTGTTCTCCCCTATTCCGACTCCTCCCACAATCTCGGGCGACATCTTCCCTTCCTATGATGGCGATTCCGACATTATGCAGCTTCCAGGTGTCTTCCATACACTTCTGGCAACATCCGGAGCCTTCCGACACCCCACTGCCACCTCCATCTTTAGCCTTCTCAATTTCAAACCTTATATATCATACCAGCCGGCGAATTCGGGAGGTCATGACTTGCACTTAACCCACCTACCCATTAACCCCCTCACTACGGTGCCGCCACAAAGGGTCAAGAGACCCCACAATGTCCGCGAGAAATAAACAAAGGAGGACCACACACTTTCACGGAGCTAACATCTACTCAAAGACCCCCGTGTTGTATAATATTGGATACCCTAGATTTCTGGCACTTTCTAGTTTCCTCTACGCAGGCAGTTCAGAAGTAAAGTAGGTATCGTGGGAGATTCTTGCTGGGGGTATGAGACTTGGAAGATTAAATAATAGTTAATCAAAAGGTATTTTTGTCATGTAATTCATGCTTTCAATCCGGTCTCTATGTTTGTGAAAATGTTGTAACACCCACAACCCATTCCCTTCTCCCATTCACTACTTTCTAGGGTATTCCCAATTCATAAAATTGGCGTTTCGTCGGTTTTTAGTTCTCGTAAAATGTAATAAATGTCTCGTTGAGCTGTAGTATCGTTGAGATGTGAGGCACTCCTACAGAGTGCCATCAAACTTCTGGGGTCACTTGGTGTCGTTGGAAATGGTGGAGTTATATGCTGAATGGACTCTTGCAAGGTACAGGTCTTCCACGCGATCATGATCGCCATTGGTAGTTGTACTGTACGGCGCTCGAGGATAGCCTAATTAGGTACTGTACTGCCATCGTGCTGTGAGCACAGGAATAATTGGACCGCGGCCTGGGGACTCCCTCTCCTAGTAAGGTCGGCCGTATCTTTTTTGCAATTCTCTTATCTGGAACCCAAAAGGTAGTACCTCTGTGTTTTTCTCCCCCGGTCCAAAGGGGGGGTTTAGAGGGGGCTAGCCCCCAGTGGGTGGTTGTTCTCTTGCTGCTTGTATCATACTCGGGTAACGTAAAAACCCCGGAAGTCGGACATTGCTTTTTCAGTGCCAAGTGGAGAACAGCATGTCAACAGAGAGGTATATCTCAGGAATGAGCTGACAAAAATCAAATTTGTAAATTATCATACAATCAGTAATGGGAAAAGTTCAAGCTATCAGAAAATTGAAGGTTGATAAAGACAGAGAAGATGGGATACAACGTGCACTAGCCAGCCAAGAGACTTGAGAACCACCCCCCAGTTTTTGTAACCTTGCAAGGGGGTTTGGTGTTTCACACTCTGTTTTGTGTGATTGGGTAACTGGAAAGACGCAAAATAGGCAAAGGGCTCATGAGCATCAGCAAAAGTTGCCAACAGGTATAGTAAAAGCACCGGAGAGATGGTATCAAGTGTTATGAACCCGGTGTGGTTTTTAAAGGATTTCATATGTTATGGTAGATTTTTGTACACATGACCTGCTTAGGGGTCATGTGAAATATGGGTAACTGGCATAGGTACATAGTAAAGGATTTTGTTTTGTTTTAAATATTGTTCTGATACTTGGCTTTTTTTAAGTATTATTTGATACTTGATTTTGTTTTATGTTTTGTTTTAAGTATCATTTTGATACTTAAGTTGTTTTATTAAAGTGTATTGCTTAATACCTTTGATTAGTTTTGTTCATGCTATACATGAGCAAGATTTGTATATTTAAGATGGCCTGATTCCATAATGGAAAAGGTAGACTTCGACAAATAGTATTTCAATATACTTGATTGAGCGGTTACTTCTCTAAGTTTTCTCAGTACACCTTGGAAGTTTTCTTTAGTTCGCAGCTCACGGCTCCTCTCTGGAAGAGCAGGCCACCTACCAACTATTGTACCCAATCCTGAAACATGATTAGTACCTAGCGAACAGGTTACATTTTTTTAATCAAAGCCAGTAGTTAAGAACCTGCCACAAGACTTAGGCTTGATCAACCTATTGATGTCTACCTTGGAATGCTAGCAGAGTGAAGTGTCAGAATCACAGTACATTCAGCTTTATCTCAACCTGAATATAGAGTCTGTAACCAGCATGGGTACTATGTTAAGGGTTTTGTTTCTTGTTTCTTGTTTTGTTGTAAGTATCATTTTGATACTTAAGTTGTTTTACCAAAGTATATTGTTTGATACTGTAGATGAGTTTTGTTCATGCTAGACAGGAACAGATTTGCGTATTTAAGACAGGCTAATTCCACGATGAAGAAGGCAGACTTCGACAGATACTATTTCAATATACTTGGTTGAACAGTTACTCTTTAGTTTTCCCAGTACACCTTTGAAGCCACCTTTAGCTTGCAGCTCTTACCTTCTCTCTGGTAGAGTAGGCAACTTGTCAATAATTGTACCTTATCCCGAAACATGATTAGCATCTTGTGAACATGTCACAGAGTCATTGACAATACAGAGTGGAAAGCAGATCCCATGGCAAGACCTTACAAAAAAAAAGCACTACAGGAGCTCCACAAAGTACTAAGAAGAGCAAGACTCAAAGTAATTTGCAAAAACGGAAACCTGATAACCTCTTGGAGAATTTCCACCTACTTTACGAAAGAAACCAGCATTTTGTAACTGGTATAGTATAACATGTTTGCAAGGTGCTAGTTACGTAATTAGTGATAGGTATAATAGTTAGCAGGTGGCCTGCTCTACCAGAGAGGAGGTAAGAGCTGGGAACTAAAGGAGGCTACAAGGGTGTA